TCAGAAGACTGTGGATCATTACTCAGATCCATTGTAAGAGCTGGTGGAGGTGGGAGCTGAGGAAGGTGAGGCTGAAAAGGCAAATATATTCCACTAAAATACACACACGTGTCAGAAACTGATCAATGAACTGTGAAAAGCCATTGACAGAAAAATGAAACACAGGTTTAAAGATAAAAAGTTTTGTATATTGTGACTTTAGATCTGCTGAAAAGGTATGCAAGGCCTAAATATACAGGTCTTTCTGCCTGTTTCACCCTTCCAGGGAGGTGCCTTGATGCAGGTCGAAAGATCTTGATTCAGGGAGTTGGAGCTACCCTTCGTTTCCTTAGATCAAATCCAGCTACAGGTACTGTATGATTCATATGCATGGATTTAGTGCTCCCCATTAAATGCAACAAAAATAATTTCAAATTTCATTTTTTAAGTGGTTTCTTACTTTTCATAAATACATACCTACAAGAGGAAAAAATTAAAGGATAACTAAGCACACTACAGTGCTAGTCACAGCATTATGCCGGGTGAACGTCCCAGCATAATGCTGTGACAAAAATCTAAGGCCTACCATACAGGGGAGGTCTTTTTTCGTCAGTGCATTATACCAGGTAGCAGCCATTAGCATGAAGTCACGGCCTGCCACCACACTCCACTGTGATTCCTCAGTGCTCACGTGACTGAGGAAGTGTTGCACTTTTGTCTCTCATCCACCCCATCTTTTGTCCAGTGTTTCCTTTGGCTTTTGGGCTATACATGTTTGATAATGGGTAAAGGGAAGTTTTTTAACACCTGGAACTATAACTCAAATCATAGGACCTCACAAAGCTGGTCACCAGACGAAAGAAATACAGTGGAACTCCGGTTTTCGTACGGTCCGCATATCATACAATTCGGATTTAGAACACTTTTTGGGGTGAAATTTTGGTCCAGATTTTGTACCTCCATCTGGAAATCGTATGTATCAGACGAGTCTGCCCACCCGGGACACTGCCACATGTGTGTCTCAGTCTGGCTCTGTCACTGGTTGAGTGAGCATTCATCTGAAACATTTTGCAATTTTTGTGCTTGTTTATTGATTGTGACTGCAAAATAAGCCACAATGGGCCCAAAGAAAGTTCCTAGTGCCAGCCCTTTGGTAAAGAAGGTGAGAAACATGATAGAATTCAAAAAAGAGATTGAAGAAAAATATGAAAGTGGCGTACGTTTAGCTAAGCTTGCCAGGATTTATGACAAGTCGAAATCAACAATCTGTTCCATCCTGGCAAAGACAGTAGAAATCAAGGAAGCTAAAGTTGTGAAAGTTGTAAATGTGCTAACGAAACAGAGATCACAAACAATCGAAAATGTGGAGTTGTTGTTGTTGGTGTGAATCAACAAGAAACAGTTAGCAGGAGAGTGTTGTGGAGTCAATCATTTGCGAAAAGACAAGGCAGTTGCATGTGGATCTCAAAGAAAATGCCTGGAATGAGTACTGCTGCTAGTGAATTTAAGGCCAGCAAAGGCTGGTTCAACAGATTAAATAAGCATAGTGGCATACAGTGTTGTCAGGCATGGTGAGGCTGCAAGTTCAAACGTGCAGCCGAAGAATTCGTTGATGAATTCAAGGAGTATGTAGAGGCTGAAGGATTTGTCCCCCAACAAGTGTTCATTTGTGACAAAACAGGACACTTTTGGAAGAAAATGCCAACGAGGACCTACATCATGCAGGAGGGAAAAGGCACTGCCACTGTAGTGGAGAATGTTGGTGTGTGTGAGCGTTCAGCGAGGAACTGGGTGCAGCATTTTGTACCTTAACTGTGTTAAAGAAGCAGTTGGAGAGTATACCTAAGATAACTGCTACAGAACTGAAAGAAAAGAACCCACATCTTCTCTCAGAGGTGTCTGTAAGAACTGTTAACAGATGTGTCAGAACTGGGCCGGATCATTTGCGCTGTGGTTCGAACGTTGGACTACATGCAGCCAGCAGTAACAGCCTCGTTGATCAGGCCCTGATCCACCGGGAGGCCTGGTCGTGGACCTGGCCACAAGGGCGTTGATCCCTGGAATGCCCTGCAGGTGGACTCCAGGTACAGTAACCACCTCCAGGTTAAGAAACCAATCCTCTCCAAGCCACAGAAGAAATGTAGGCTGGATTATACAAAGAAATATCTTCACTGGAATCCTCAACAATAGTCTGAAGTACTTTGGAGTGATGAAGCAACCTTTACCGTCACCTGTAACCATGGGGGACGTGTACTGGCCCTGAGGTAGTGACCTGCTAGACCCACGCTACACCTGTGGGACCACCAAACACCCAGACTCACTCATGGTTTGGGGGTGTTTCAGTGCTCAGTGTTGATGAACTCATTGTGCTTCCCAAAAACCAGTATATGTGAACCAGTATAATTAACTGGGGTTTTTGTGTGACAATTTACCTGAGGCGTTTGACAAGGGTGGGACTACGGTTTTTATGCAGGATGGTGCACCGTGTCATACCACCAAATCTGTAGTTCAATGGCTTAAGGACTGTGAAGTGAGGTTCCTTAATGACTGGCCAGGCAATTCCCCAGACCTAAACCCTATTGAGAATCTCTGGTCAGTAGTAAAACAAAGTTTACTGGGCAAGAATATCAGTTCCATCCTGTGGCTGGAGGCTGCACTACATGAGGCATGGAGTAAAATACCTCCCCAACCCTCAAGAATTTGTGTGATAGAATTCCTACACTGCTGATGAATGTGATTAGGCATAAAGGACAAAGCACCAAGTATTAAAACCTCAATAAGTGTGCAAATATATATATTATAATCTTTCATGGTATGTACGTATTTGTGTTTTAGTACATGTGTGGGGGAGGAGTGGCATAATGCAGTGGCTAGCACTCTCACACTCGTGTGTGTGTGTGTGTGTGTGTGTGTGTGAGAGAGACAGACAGAGAGACAGAGACAGAGACAGACAGAGACAGACAGAGACAGACAGAGAGAGAGAGACAGAGAGAGAGAGACAGAGAGAGAGACAGAGAGAGAGAGACAGAGAGAGACAGACAGAGAGAGAGAGACAGAGAGAGACAGACAGAGAGAGAGAGACAGAGACAGACAGAGAGAGAGAGACAGAGAGAGAGAGACAGGAGAGAGAGAGAGAGAGAGAATGACACTAAAAGAAAGCTAGCATCAGGTAGGGTAGGCTCCAAAACCTGGTGGTCCCTGGTCAAGGACAGACAAGGTTACCTGCCTGATGAACTCATTCTACCTCTAAATCGACAGGATGGGACCGCCTCTACTAGTAGTCAAAGAGAAGGCAGACCTCTTTGCTGAACACTTTGGTACCAAAATGCATGTTCCTGATCCAGCAAGGGACCCTCCTTGGCTAGCTGCAAGAACTGTGTCAAAACTGTCAGTGGTGACAATAAGGCAGGAGGAGGTGCATTTCCTTCTTAAATCGCTTGACCAAGAAAAGGCTGTGGGCCCAGACAAGTTGAGCCCAAGACTGCTGAGAAGATGTGCAGACCAGCTAGCAGCACCTCTAACTCACATCTTTCAGCACTGCCTAGTACAGCATAAATGGCCCTCTCTGTGGAAAGAGGCAAATGTAGTCCCTGTTCACAAAAAGAGCAGAGCAGAAATCAGCAACTACAGACCAGTGTCACTCCTGTCAATCACTGGTAAGATCCTTGAGACAATAATCTCAAGACAAATGACAGAGTTTTTTGACTACCACTCACTACTTTGTGATCGTCAATATGGCTTCAGGAAAGGCTACTCTGCTGCTGATCTGTTGCTAAACCTCTCCACTAAGTGGCACTAGTCACTGGATGAATCCAAAGTCAGCTGTGTGGTAGCACTGGACATTGCTGGCACTTTCAACTGGGTGTGGCACCAGGGCCTCTTAGCAAAACTTCAAGCACTGGGAATTGCAGGCTCTACGCTACGTCTCCTCAGTGTTTACCTTCATGGTAGATCTCTAAGTGCAGTTCTCAATGGAACAGAATCAGCAAGACATCCTATTGGGGCAAGTGTTCCACAAGAAAGTGTGCTGGGACCATTATTATGGAATGTCTACTTCAACGACCTTCTTCATCTCATCCCAGAATCATATGCATATGCAGACGACTGTACACTGACATTCACTTATTCAAGAAAAGAAATGCCAGCTGCTCTAAGCTACATCAATCACCAGCTGAGAGCTATATCAGCTTGGGGAAATAGATGGCAAGTAACATTTGCACCTGAGAAAATGCAAATGATGATTGTCTCTAGGCACCATGATGGTAATGCTGGTGCAGTAGTAAGGATGAATGGGAGGGTGTTGGCACCTGGAGAAGAAGTTGATATCCTTGGGGTGAAATTTGACTACAAACTAACCATGAAGAACCATGTTGTAAATCTTGCAAACAAGGCAGCCAGGAAGATTACAGCACTTCGCCGTATCTCGCATCTGCTTGACAGTAGGGGTTGCAAGATTCTGTACGAGGCAAAAGTACGCTCACACCTTGAGTATGCTCCACTTTCTTGGTTTGCCTGCCCCCCTCTCATCTGCGACTGCTCGACAGAGTAGAGAACAGAGCAAGACGTCTCATCTCTCACCTGGACCCATCCTGGATAGATCTGTCATTTCAGCAGAGTCTTCAACATAGGAGGGATATGGGTGGCCTTACTGTTATGTACAAGGCCAATACAGTGGACCCCCGGTTAACGAACTTTTTTCATTCCAGTAGTATGTTCAGGTGCCAGTACTGACCGAATTTTTTCCCATAAGGAATATTGTGAAGTAGATTAGTCAATTTCAGACCCCCAAACATACACGTACAAACGCACTTACATAAATACACTTACATAATTGGTCGCATTTGGAGGTGATCGTTATGCGGGGGTCCACTGTATTGTCAAAGTACCATACTTGGATCCACTTTGAGGACAGTGTGAAACAAGCTTCTGTGCCACAATACGGGCAGAAAGCAGCAACTTCACTCTGGCTGTACCCTTCTCCAGAACATCACTCCATCTGAGATCATATATACCCAGGATGACTCGAGTATGGAACATATTCGTACAGCATAATGATGTCAACGAGATAAAGTCAGTTGATCAAATGAAAATGCTGGCCCACAGATGGCTCCAACTTCATCCTGTTTCCTACTTGTATGTCTCATAACAATAAAAATGCTTTCAAATGAGCTGATGTAGGTAACAGCTCTTAGCTTGCCAATAAAGTTAGGAATCCTTAACCTGTAAATATCTTGTCAATAAAGCTAGGGATTCTTAACCTAACCTTATCAAACCCTGTGTAAAAAAAAGACAGAGAGAGAGGAGAGAGAGAGAGGAGAGAGAGAGAGAGGAGAGAGAGAGAGGAGAAGAGGAGAGAGGGGAGAGAGGAGAGGAGAGGAGAGAGGAGAAGGAGAGGAGAGAGAGAGAGAGATGAGAGAGGAGGAGAGAAAGGAGAGAGGAGGGGAGAGGAAAAAGAGAGAGAAAGGAGAAGAGGAGAGAAGAGAGAGAGAGGAAGAGAGAGAAGAGAGAGAGAGAGAGAAGAGAGAGAGAGAGAGAGAAGGAGAGAGAGAAGAGAGAGAGAGGAGAGGAGAGGAGAGAGAGGAGAGTAGAGAGAGAGAGAGAGAGAGAGAGAGAGAGAGGAGAGAGAGAGAGAGAGAGGAGAGAGAGGAGAGAGAGAGAGAGAGAGAGAGAGAGAGAGAGAGAGAGAGAGAGAGAGGAGAAAGAGAGAGAGAGAGAGAGAGAGAGAGAGAGAGAAGAGAGAGAGAGAGAGAGAGAGAGAGAGGAAGAGAGAGAGAGAGAGAGAGAGAAGAGAGAGAGAGAGAGAGAGAGAGAGAGGAGAGAGAGAGAGGAGAGAGAGGAGAGAGAGGAGAGGAGGAGAGAGAGGAGAGGAGAGAGAGAGAGAGAGAGGAGGGAGAGAGAGGAGAGGAGAGAGAGAGGAGAGGAGGAGAGAGAGGAGAGAGAGAGGAGAGGAAGAGAGAGAGGAGAGGAAGAGGAGAGAGAGAGGAGAGGAGAGAAGAGGAGAGGAGAGGAGAGGAGAGGAGAGAGAGGAGAGGAGAGAGAGAGAGAGGAGGAGAGAGAAGGAGGAGAGAGAGGAGAGGAGAGAGGAGAGGGAGAGGAGAGAGAGAGAGAGAGAGGAGAGAGAGAGAGAGAGAGAGAGAGAGAGAGAGAGAGAGAGAGAGAGATAAACAGTGGACCCCCGACTTACAATGGCGGGAGAGAGAGAGAGAGGAAGAGAGAGAGAGGAGAGGGAGAGAGAGAGAGGAGAGAGAGAGGAGGAGAGAGAGAGGAGAGAGAGGAGAGGAGAGAGGAGAGGAAGAGGAGAGAGAGAGAGAGAGAGGAGAGAGAGGAGAGAGAGAGAGAGAGAGGAGAGAGAGAGAGAGAGAGAGAGAGAGAGAGAGAGAGAGAGAGAGAGAGAGAGAGAGAGAGAGAGAGAGAGAGAGAGAGAGAGAGAGAGATAAACAGTGGACCCCCGACTTACAATGGCCTCAGCCTACAATAAAACCGACTTACGATACTTGTCAGCATAAAAATTTGACCCCGAGTTACGTTGAAAAACTCGACTTACATCATTCGTTCCGAACGCGGACGTCTGGTCCATCTGGCCTGAGCGCCTCAGATGAGCTAGTGTGACATTGTTTACAAGCTGGGGCGGACAGTTGCACGCATACATTTGATAAATTTTGTATTATTCCAGTGTTTTTAGTGCTTGTAACTGCTAAAGAAGCCCAATGGAAATAAGTCACTGTCTGACTTTTTTGGGTTATCTTAGGTTCTCTTCACATATGCTGCTATGTATGATAATCTATGTAACTGTATTTGTGCATACCTGAATAAACTTACTTACTTACCAAAGAAAGCTTCTAATGCCAACCATGTGGTAAAAAGGGTGAGAAATACTATCGAAATACTATTGTACCACGGTCAGCTGCTGCTGCTGCTGTACCACGGTCAACTGCTGCTGTTGCTGCTGCTGTACCACGGTCAGCTGCTGCTGCTGCTGCACCACGGTCAGCTGCTGCTGCACCACGGTCAGCTGCTGCTGCACCACGGTCAGCTGCTGCTGCACCACGGTCAGCTGCTGCTGCACCACGGTCAGCTGCTGCTGCACCACGGTCAGCTGCTGCTGCACCACGGTCAGCTGCTGCTGCACCACGGTCAGCTGCTGCCGCACCACGGTCAGCTGCTGCTGCACCACAGTCAGCTGCTGCTGCACCACGGTCAGCTGCTGCTGCACCTCGGTCAGCTGCTGCTGCACCACGGTCAGCTGCTGCTGCACCACGGTCAGCTGCTGCTGCACCACGGTCAGCTGCTGCTGCACCACGGTCAGCTGCTGCTGCACCACGGTCAGCTGCTGCTGCACCACGGTCAGCTGCTGCTGCACCACGGTCAGCTGCTGCTGCACCACGGTCAGCTGCTGCTGCACCACGGTCAGCTGCTGCTGCACCACGGTCAGCTGCTGCTGCACCACGGTCAGCTGCTGCTGCACCACGGTCAGCTGCTGCTGCACCACGGTCAGCTGCTGCTGCACCACGGTCAGCTGCTGCTGCACCATGGTCAGCTGCTGCTGCACCACGGTCAGCTGCTGCTGTACCACAGTCAGCTGCTGCTGCTGCTGCTGCTGTAACACCATCAGCTGCTACTGCTGCTGTAGCACTGTCAGCTGCTCCTGCTGCTGCTGTATCACGGTCAGCTGCTGCTGCTGCTGCTGCTGCACCACGGTCAGCTGTACTACTCGAAGATGTGGAGAGACTGTTGTTGGTGTGGCTTATCGAGAATACCGAGAAACAATTAACCCCAGAGGGTTAGCCACCCAGGATAACCCAAGAAAGTCAGTGTGTCATCGAGGACTGTCTAACTTATTTCCGTTGGGGTCCTTAATCTTGTCCCCCAGGATGCGACCCACACCAGTCGACTAACACCCAGATGAACAGAAAAAAATGCCTGGAACTAGTGCCCATATTGGTGAATTTAAGGCCAGCAAAGGTTGGTTTGAGAGATTTAAGAATCATAGTGGCATACACAGTGTGATAAAGCCTGTTCTGGAAGAAAATGCCAAACAGGACTTACATTACTCAGGAGGAAAAGGCACTCCCAGGACACAGTGTCTCATCGCTACATCTTCAATAAAGGTAAGTGTCATTTATTCTTCATTTAGTACACTAGTACATACACAATATATATTGTGCATGTATCCTTCTTTTTGTTTGTAGGAAAATGTATATTTCATGTGATAAAAAAATTTTTTTCCATACTTTTGGGTGTCTTGAACGAATTAATTTTATTTCTATTATTTCTTATGGGGAAAATTAATTTGACCTACAATAATTTCGTTGCTGTCTAGACAGCAACCACCCAGGGAGGTACTACCATCCTGCCAAGTGAGTGTAAAACGAAAGCCTGTAACTGTTTTACATGATGGTAGGATTGCTGGTGTCTTTTTTCTGTCTCATAAACATGCAAGATTTCAGGTATGTCTTGCTACTTATACTTACATTTAGGTCACACTACACATACATGAACAAGCATATATATACACACCCCTCTGGGTTTTCTTCTAGTTCTTTCTAGTTCTTGTTCTTGTTTATTTCATCTTATCTCCATGGGGAAGTGGAACAGAATTCTTCCTCCATAAGCCATGCATGTTGTAAGAGGCGACTAAAATGCTGGGAGCAAGGGGCTAGTAACCACTTCTGTATAAATTACTAAATTTAAAAAAGAGAATTTTTTTGTTTTTCTTTTTGGGCCACCCTATCTCAGTGGGATACGGCCGGTGCATTGAAAGAAATAGATATATGTATACATAGTACAATACCTACAAATGCGAAACAATTTTGAAGGCTGGTAGAGATTTGGGTATACTATACTGCAACATGACTGATTTATACTTACTGGTGGTGCAAACTGGCTTCCATTTGTTTGAAAATTTGGAGGTGGCATCTGTAGAGAAAATGATTTACTGTACATCTAGGATTTTGCAGCAACAATAACAAAATATATTTTAAAGTAAATACATCTCCACTCCCAACAAAACAAGGTGAAATATCCATGTTAAAATCTTTAAGTTTCTTAAAAAATATGACAGAATTTTTTCATTGATTCTCAGGTGTCATCAGGCAAATCCACTAACACTCATGCCTATCAAGCAATGCTTATACAGTGGACCCCTGAGTTTCGTGATTAATCCGTTCCAGAGAGCCCGCCGAAGATCGAAATTCATGAAACTTGAAACCATTTTCCCCATAAGAAATAATGGAAATAAAATTAATCCGTTCCAGACACTCAAAAAAATTTAAATAAAATTTTTTTTTTCAAATTAAATAAAGATTTACATAATGAAAACAATCAGAAATCAAATACATACATTTAAAAAAATAATAATAACATTACACTTACCTTTACTGAAGACATCTGCATGGATGGGAGAGGGGGATAGGAGGAAGGTGTACACTATTTTTTGGAAGGAGAATCTCCTTCCATTAGGACTTCAGGTATGAGGTCCATATCTGGGGTTACTTCCCTTCTTCTTTTAATGCAACTGGGACAAACTTGAGAGTCACTGGACCCTTGTCGCACAAAATATCTGTCCAGAGAGGTCTGTTTCTGGCGTTTCTTTAAGATCTGTCTGAAGTGGGACACAAAACTGTCATTGTACATGTTGCCAATACGGCCTGCAACAGCTTTGTTAGGGTGAAGTTCATCCATAAATGTTTGCACTTCAGTCCACTTTCCACAAATGTCCTTAATCTTTGAGGAAGGTACCTTCCTCCATCTCTCTTCCTCCTCCTCTGCTAACTGTTTTTCCTATCTCCTGCTAACTGTTTTTCGGTAATCCACACCAACAATAACCTCTCCACTTCGAGGATTTGTGATCTCCTTTTTGTCAGCATATCCACCCCTTTTGCAACAACAGCACACTATTTCCTTTCCTTTCGCCATGATCAAAGTGATGGTTGAATGGGGCTTGCCATACATCCTGGCAAGCTCTGTAACACGCACTCCACTCTCATATTTTTCAATCATTTCTTTCTTGAATTCGATCGTGTTCCTCACTTTCTTTACCAAAGGGCTTGCACTAGCTTTCCTTGGGCTCATGGTGACTTATTTAGCAGTTGTAACCACAAAAAACAATAGATTACGTATGAACCCGCGGGGTGATGGTCACGTGTTAGTAAACAATGGCACACTGAGCGTGAATGGCGTGGGAGACTGGCTTTGTGTGCGCGGTGACGGTCGCTGAAACACGAGTTTTTTCACGAAACTCGAGGCCAAATTTCAAAAAAAAAAAAAAAAAAAAAAAAAAAAAAAAAAAAAAACTCGCCGAAGGTCGAATTTCACGAAAGTCAAGGCTGCCGAAACTCGAGGGTCCACTGTACTACTTAGGTGCTTTGGTATACCCCAGATAGCTGGCCAGTGTTAAATAAAAAATTATTTAGAGAAAATGGCATTAGGGGATAGAAATACTGTAGAATATGGCAGTTCTCCAGACAATTCACAGGACTGGTTTGATAATTCAATTTGTTTCTGACCATATCTCTTTGAAAGTGAACACAGATAAGAATAAGGTGACGAGGGGTATCAAACGAGTTAGGCAAGGAAAAACTGGATATCAGATTGGAGGGGAAGGAGTGAGGAGGAAGCGAATATGTTCAGAGATTTGGGAGTGTACATGTCAGTGGATAAGTATTTGAAAGATGAGGTAAACCAAAGGACTGATGAAGAGAAAAGGTGGTTGGTGCTATGAGGTATCTGTGGAGACAAAAAAACATTATCCATGGAGGCAAAGAATGGAACGTATGAGTGTAGTGGTAACAACACTTGTATGGGTGTGAAGAATGGGTTGTGAATGTTGCAACAAGGAGGAGGCTGGAGGTAGCAGAGATGTCATGTCTGAGGGCAACGTGTGGCATAAATATTATGAAGACAATTCGTAGTTTGAAGATTAGGAGGAGGTGTAGAGTTACTAAAAGTATTATTCAGAGGGCTGAGGAGGGGTTGTTGAGGTGGCTTGGTCATTTTGAGAGGATGGAACAAAATAGGATGACTTGGAGAGTATATAAATCTGTAGTGGAGAGAAGACAGAGTAGGGGTCATCCTAGGAAAGAATAGAGGGAGATAAAGGAGGTTGTGTGTGCAAGGGGCTTGGACATACAGCAGGCATGTGTAAGCATGCAGACAGGAGTGGAGATGAATGGGTTTTTTGACTTGACGAGCAGTTGGTGCATGAGCAGGGTAATATTTTGTGAAAGTATTCATTGAAACTCGAGTCCTAGAAGTGAGAAGCACAGTGCCTCCACTCTTAACAGTTTGACTGTTGAGGTCGTACATATATGTCTTACGAGGTACCGTGTTTGACGTATATATACTCAAATTCTAGCGGCTTCAAATCAAGCAGGAGAAAGCTGGTAGGCCCACATGTGAGAGAATGGGTCTGTGTGGTCAGTGTGCACCATATAAAAAAAAATCCTGGAGCATGCAGTGCACAATGAGAAAAAAAAAACTCCGACCATTTTTTTTTTTAATTAAAATGCTAACTTTGTGGTCTATTTTTGTATAGTATTTATGGTTGTATTCTCGTTTTCTTGGTCTCATTTGATGGAATGGAAAACATATTATAGAAATAGAGGTGATTTTGACTGATTTTACTAAAAAAAGAACCTGAAAATGGAGCTCAAAGTAGGGGAAATGTTTGATTTTTGCCGATGTTCAAAAGTAAACAAATGTCATTGTCCAATAAATGTCCAACTAGCCATTCTAATATGCAGTCATGAATGGGTTGATGTTATTTATACAATTATTACAGTATTGCAGTAGTCTGCATAACAGTAAATCTTCTATTTTTTGTTTGAATAAAAGTTCAAAATAGAAAGCAAGAGTAATATCAGAGGGGCTTGGAGACGTGACTCATGAACAAAGAAAATGTTATTTTAGGGCCAGGAATGTCTGCATTGTTCATTCTGGACCTTATTTTGAAATTGTCATATTTTTTAATTTTCGTGAAATTGGCCAAATTGCAAATTTCTGACCACGTTACTGGGTAGTTGAAATCGGTAAATGGGCAGTTTCTTGTACTCAATCGATAGAAAAAATGGATTTCTAAAATAACAGTTATGAGTTTGGTCGACTGGAACAATGGAATTAGCCGAAAATAGGGCTCAAAGTGGGTGAAATCGCCAATTTGTAAATATCGCCGAGGTCACTAACTTCGCGAGAGTGTAATTCCATCAGTTTTCCATCAAATTTTGTGTTTTTGGTGTCATTACAACCAGGAAAAGATTCTTTATCATTCCGTAAGAAAAAATAATCTTTTTTTTTTTTTTTTTTTGAAATTTTGCGACACCAGGAGACACTTCAGGATTGGGGGTTACGACAGTCAAGGGGTTAAAAAAAAGGGAGGGGGGTATATTTGCTTAGAGTGACATTTGAACTGTCATATGTGCCCACCTCTGGGAAGACACTGGTAGTGTGAATGATGGTGAAAGTTTCTTTTTTGGGGTCACCCTGCCTCAGTGGGAGACTGCCAACATTTTATTCATGAAAGAAGGGAAGGTACCTAAGGACTGGAAGAGAGTATGCAGTTTCTTTGTAAAAAAAAAAAAAAAAAAAAAAAAAAAAAAAAAAAAAAAAAAAAAAAAAAAAAAAAATTATAGGGGAAGAAGTCTGTTTAGTATGCCAGGTAAACTACATGGAAGAATCATTACTGAAAGATGGAATATGATAATGCAAGCTTGCAAAGGAACAAAAGAGGATTCAGGAAGGGTATGGGATGGTAGGGAATGTGTGAACCAAGTGTTTACAATGAAGTATATTATTATTATAATAAAAAATGAAGCACTAAACCTCAATAAAGGATATAAGTGAACAATACTTAGGTACAAGGAAGAAACTACCACATTTTTGTGTTTAGAAAAAATAATCTGATAGGGTACCAATGTGACAGATGTTGCAAATGTATGGCAGGCTACTAAAAGCAGTAAAGAATTTTTATGCAGATAGTAACTCAAGTTAGGGTTATGCAGAAGGGACTCTGTAGTATTTCCCAGTAAAAGTAGGCCTCGGACAAAGATGTGCGAGTTCACTGTAGTTGCTTAACCCTTAAACTGTCCAAACGGAGATCTACGTTCATGCACATAAATCTACATTTGATTTTACATTCTTCCTTATGTAAAAAAAAAAAACGCAGATCTACGTCCAGAGTGCTACACACATGAATGCGGATCTACGTTAGGACAGTTAAAGGTTAATATATTTATAGATGGGATTATAAAAGTGAATGCTATGGTGTTGGGGAGAGATGTGGGTTTAAAAGATAATGATATACAGAGTGGGAGTTATCACAATTGTTCTTTTGGAAGGCTCTTAAAAAAAAAAAGGAAATTAAAAGTGAACAAAGAAAAGAGCAAGGCGAGTAACAAAAAGAACGGGCAATGAAAGACTGGGTATTAGATAGGAAAGAGGGAGTAAGGAGGGAATTAATGTATTCAGAGATGTAGGAGTGAACATTTCAGCAAATGGGTCTATGAAAGAAGAGGCGAACAACAGACAAGACAAAGGGAAAAAGGTTAAGTGGTGTGTTCAAGCACCTGTGGAAAGTTTTTTAAACACACTAGCCATCTTCCACTAGAGTACAGTGATACCAACACTGTTATAAGAGTGTGAGGAATGGGTTTTAAATATTGTCCTGAAGAGGAGGCAAGAGGCAGTGTAAATGTCATGTTCTAGAACAATGTGTGGTTTGAAAATTATGCATAGAATTCAGAGCATACAAGACAGCATGGAGTTACCAAAGATATAAAAGAGACAGCTAGGGTGGCTTTGGCATTCAGAGAAGATAGAGTAGATAGGATGACCAAGGTGTATAAATCTAGGGTGGAAGAAAGAAGGGTTAAGGGTCATCCCAGCAAGATGGATAAAGTATGCTTTGAGTGCTAGACCCTCGATCATCATGCAGACGCATGTGTGTGTTCCATAGGAAAGAATGGAGACAAGTGGTTTTTATGACTTGACATACTATTGGAGTATGAGCAAGGTAACATTTATGAAAGGTTTCAGGAAATCAGTTAGGTAAATTTTGAGTCCTGGAGGTGGGAAGTAGAGCCTAAACTCCAAAGGAGAGGCAGAGATACTGCAGTTCTAAAAGGTCATTTGATCTGTGATATCTGCAAGCTTCTGGTAGGACGTTTTATTGAATGGTATATGTGTTATTTTTTGTGTGGGGTGGAGTATCCTACTTCAATGGAACATGGCCTATGTTAGAAAATAAAATCTTGTCTTTCCACAATTATTCATTTAATAGTATGTACCAATACACTTCATTTTAGCTTTTTCTACCATTGACCTCATCCCATTAAAACTATTCTGAAGTTTTAAACTTTGTTTTACTCAGTGCAAGGACATTTACTCTCCCTTTCATAACATCTACATTTAACCTCTATTACATCCACACACCCTAACTTTCTACTTCATCATTTAAATTTTTACACAAAAACTATTTTCAAAATCTACAGACTGACTATCCAAAGCAAACAGCAAATACTTTATTGCACTATAAAACCTGTAAAATAAGAGGTGTACAGTACCGATCCTGAGTAAGACCGTTGTGTGTGGGGTGCTCTCTGCCTTTTGTTAGAGCGCTCAGCATCAGTATCAGATTGCATGTCACTCTCGATCAAAGAACTGCACAGGTCACTCTGCTGGAAAGTGGTTTTGGAATAAGATTTTCTAAAAGACATTATGACAACTTTCACTTGACTCTCTACAAAGCATTAGAGTATTATGAATCCTTCTAAAATTAAATAAATTATATATAGCTAATTAAGTAAATTCTATACATCAAGTCCTCGACTTACAAACACATTGGGGACCTCCTGAATTGTGTATAACATTCATAATACAGGAAGTCTTCAATTTAAAGACACTGGGACCTTCTGTAGTGTGTATAATAATATATAATAATGATATACACAAAAATATAATAATGATATACACAATAATATAATAATGATATAATACACAATAATGATTTATTTATTTATTTATTTATTTATTTATTTATTTATTAACACATCAGCCATTTCCTACCAAGGCAGGATAGCCTGAAAAAGAAACTTTCATCATTCACTCCATCACTGTCTTGCCAAAGGCATGCCTACACTACAATTATAAAACTGCAACATTAACACCCCCTCCTTCAGATTGCAGACAATGTACGTCCCATCTCCAGGACTCCAGTCCAGCCTGCCGGTTTCCTGAATCCCTTCATAAATGTTACCCTGCTTACACTCCAACAGCACGTCAAGTCAAGTCCTAAAAACCATTTGTCTTCATTCACTCCTGTCTAACATGCTCACACATGCTTGCTGGAAGTCCAAGCCCCTCGCACACAAAACCTCCTTTACCCCCTCCCTTCAACCTTTCCTAGGCCAATCCCTACCCTGCCTTCCATCCACTACAGATATGTATACCCTCAAAGTCATTCTATTTCATTCTATCCTCTCTACATGTCCAAACCATCTCAATAACCCCTCCTCAGCCCTCTGGATAAGTTTTGGTAATCCCACACCTCCTCCTAATCTCCAAACTATGGATTCTCTGCATTATATTCACACCACACCTTGCCCTCAGACATGATATCTCCACTGCCTCCAGCCTCCTCCTTGTTGCAACATTCACAACCCATGCCTCACACCCATATAAGAGCATTGGTATATAACTATATGTACTCTCATACATTCCCCTCTTTGCTTTCATGGATAAATATCTTTGTCTCCACAGACTCCTCATTCTTCATAGTCCCATCTGCTGACATATCCATTCCCAAATATCTGAACGCATTCACCTCCTCCATATTCTCCCCCTCCAATCTGATATCCAATCTTCCGTTACCCTGCCAAATTCATCCACCAACCTCTGCAACTTCTCTTCAGAATCTTCCAAAAGCACAGTGTCGTTAGCAAAGAGCAACTGAGACAACTCTCACTTTGTGTTTGATTCTTTATCTTTTAACTCCACACCTTTTGCCAAGACCCTCGCATTCACTTCTCTTACAACCCCATCTATAAATATATTGAATAACCATGGTGAAGTCTGAATGTGCATGGATGTTGTGCAAATGATAAGAAAGAGATGATTGTGGATGTTATGAATGAGAAGAAGCTGGATATCCTGGCTTTAAGTGAAACAAAGATGAAGGGGGTATGAGAGTTTCAGTGGAGAGGAATAAATGGGATTAGGTCAGGGGTTTCAAATAGAGCTAAAGAAGGAATAGTAATACTGTTGAAGGATAAGTTATGGCAGGAAAAGAGAGACTATAAATGTATTAATTCAAGGATTATGTGGAGTAAAATAAAGGTTGGATGTGAAAAGTGGGTTATAGTAAGTGTATATGCACCTGGAGAAGAGAGAAGTGTAGAGGAGAGTGAGAGATTTTGGGAAATGTTGAGTGAATGCATAGGGAGTTTTGAACCAAGTGTGAGAGTAATGGTGGTTGGGGATTTCAATGCTAAAGTGGACAAAAATGTTGTGGAGGGAGTAGTAGGTAAATTTGGGGTGCCAGGGGTAAACGAAAATGGGGAGCCTTTAACTGAGCTATGTGTAGAAAGAGGTTTGGTAATAAGTAATACATATTTTATGAAGAAGAGAATAAATAAATATACAAGATATGATATAGCACATAATGAAAGTAGTTTGTTAGATTATGTATTGGTGGATAAAAGGTTGATGTGTAGGCTCCAGGATGTACACATTTATAGTGGGGCAACTGATATATTGGATCATTATTTAGTTGTAGCTACAGTTAGAGTAAAAGGTAGATGGGAAAAGAGGAAAATGGCAACAACAAGCAAGAGGGAGGTGAAACTGTATAAACTAAGGGAGGAGGAAGTTCGGGTGAGAGATATAAGCGACTATTGGCAGAAAGGTGGGCTGGTGCAAGTATGAGTAGTGGGGGGGGGGGGGTTGAAGAGGGTTGGAATAGTTTTAAAAATGCAGTATTAGAATGTGGGGCAGAAGTTTGTGGTTATAGGAGGGTGGGTGCAGGAGGAAAGAGGAGTAATTGGTGAAATGATGAAGTAAAGGGTGTGATAAAAGAGAAAAAGTTAGCTTATGAGAGGTTTTTACAAAGCAGAAGTGTTATAAGAAGAGTAGAGTATATGGAGAGTAAAAGAAAGGTGAAGAGAGTGGTGAGAGAGTGCAAAAGGAGAGCAGATGATAGAGTGGGAGAGGCACTGTCAAGGAATTTTAATGAAAATAAGAAAAAATTTTGGAGTTAAACAATGAATGAAAGGGGGTAAAGCAGCTGGAACTGATGGGATCATGAGAGAAATGTTAAAAGCAGAGGGGGATATAGTGCTGGAGTGGCTGGTATTTTTGTTCAATAAATGTATGAAAGCCTAGGTAGTAGGTTGGTAGACAGCAACCGCCCAGGGAGGTACTACCGTCCTGCCAAGCGAGTGTAAAACGAAAGCCTGTAATTATTTTACATGATGGTAGGATTGCTGGTGTCCTTTTTTCTGTCTCATAAACATGCAAGATTTCAGGTATGTCTTGCTACTTCTACTTACACTTAGGTCACACTACACATACATGTACAAGCATATATATACACACCCCTCTGAGTTTTCTTCTATTTTCTTTCTAGTTCTTATTCTTGTTTATTTCCTTATATCTCCATGGGAAAATGAAACAGAATTCTTCCTCCGTGAGCCATGCGTGTTGTAAGAGGCGACTAAAATGCCAGGAGCAAGGGGCTGGTAACCTCTTCTCCTGTATATATTACTAAATGTAAAAGGAGAAACTTTCATTTTTCCTTTTGGGCCACCCCGCCTCGGTGGGATACGGCCGGTGTGTTGAAAGAAAGAAAGAAAGAAATGTATGAAAGAGGGGAAGGTACCTAGGGATTGGCAGAGAGCATGTATAGTCCCTTTATATAAAGGGAAGGGGGGCAAAAGAGATTGTAAAAATTATACACGAATAAGTTTACTGAGTATACCAGGAAAAGTGTACGGTAGAGTTATAATTGAAAGAATTAGAGGCAAGACAGAATATAGGAATGCGGATGAGCAAGGAGGTTTCAGAGTGGGTAGGGGATGTGTAGATCAAGTGTTTACATTGAAGCATATATGTGAACAGTATTTAGAGAAAGGTAGGGAAGTTTTTATTGCATTTATGGATTTAGAAAAGGCATATGATAGAGTGGATAGAGGAGCAATGTGGCAGATGTTGTAAGTATATGGAATAGGTGGTAAGTTACTAAATGCTGTAAAGAGTTTTTATGAGGATAGTGAGGCTCAGGTTAGGGTGTGTAGAAGAGAGGGAGACTACTTCTCAGTAAAAGTAGGTCTTAGACAGGGATGTGTAATGTCACAATGGTTGTTTAATATATTTACAGATGGGGTTGTAAAAGAAGTGTTCAGGAGAGGGGTAGGATTAAATTATGGGGAATTAAATACAAAATGGGAACTGACACAGTTGCTTTTTGCTGATGATACTGTGCTTACAGGAGATTCTAAAGAAAAATTGCAAAGGTAAGTGGATGAGTTTGGGAGTGTGTGTAAAGGTAGAAAGTTGAAAGTGAACATAGAAAAGAGTAAGGTGATGAGGGTATCAAATGATTTAGATAAAGAAAAATTGGATATTAAATTGGGGAGGAGTAGTATGGAAGAAGTGAATGTTTTCAGATACTTGGGAGTTGACGTGTCGCGGATGGATTTATGAAGGATGAGGTTAATCATAGAACTGACGAGGAAAAAAAGGTGAGTGGTGCATTGAGGTTTACGTGGAGTCAAAAAAAGTTATATATGGAGGCAAAGAAGGGAATGTATGAAAGTATAGTAGCACCAACACTCTTATATGGGTGTGAAGCTTGGGTTGTGAATGCAGCAGCGAGGAGGCGGTTCGAGGCAGTGGAGATGTACTGTCTAAGGGCAATGTGTGGTTTAAATATTATGCAGAAAATTCGGAGTGTGGAAATTAGGAGGTGTGGAGTTAATAAAAGTATTAGTCAGAGGGCTGAAGAGGGGTTGTTGAGGTGGTTTGGTCATTTAGAGAGAATGGATCAAAGTAGAATGACATGGAGAGCGTATAAATCTGTAGGGGAAGGAAGGCGGGGTAGGGGTCGTCCTCGAAAAGGTTGGAAGGAAGGGGTAAGGGAGGTTTTGTGGGCGAGGGGCTTCGACTTCCAGCAGGCGTGCATGAGCATGTTCGATAGGAGTGAATGGAGACGAATGGTATTTGGGACCTGACGATCTGTTGGAGTGTGAGCAGGGTAATATTTAGTGAAGGGATTCAGGGAAACCGGTTATTTTTAAAAGCCGGACTTGAGTCCTGGAAATGGGAAGTACAATGCCTGCACTCTAAAGGAGGGGTTCGGGATATTAGCAGTTTGGAGGGATATGTTGTGTATCTTTATACGTATATACTTCTAAACTGTTGTGTTCTGAGCACCTCTGCAAAAACAGTGATTATGTGTGAGTGAGGTGAAAGTGTTGAATGATGATGAAAGCATTTTCTTTTTGGGGATTTTCTTTCTTTTTGGGTCGCCCTGCCTCGGTGGGAGACAGCCGACTTGTTAAAAAACAAACATGGTGACAACACACATCCTTGTCTAAGGCCTACTTTTACTGGGAAATAATCTCCCTCTTTCCTACATACTCTAACCTAAGCCTCACTATCTTCATAAAAACTCTTCACTGCTTTCAGTTACCTACCTCCTATACCTTACACCTACAACATCTGCCACACTGCTTCCCTATCCACCCTGTCATTTTCCAAATCTATAATGCCACAAAAACCTCTTTAGCCTTATCTAAATACTGTTCACCTATATGTTTCACTGTAAACACTTGGCCTACACACCCCCTACCTTTCCTAAAGCCTCTTTGTTCATCTGCTATCCTATTCTCCATCTTACTCTTAATTCTTTCAATAATAACTACCATACACTTTACCAGGTATACTCAACAGACTTATTCCCTTATAATTTTTGGACTCCTTTATCCCCTTTGTCTTTATACAAAGGAACTATGCATGCTTTTTGCCAATCCCTAGGTACCTTACCTTCTTCCATACATTTATTAAATAACAGCACCAACCACTCCAAAACTATATCCTCACCTGCTTTTAACATTTCTATCTTCATTCCATCAATCCCAGCTGTCTTACCCTCTTTCATTCTACCCACTGCCTCACGAACTTCCCCCCCACTCACAACTGGCCCTTCCTCACTCCTACACGATGTTATTCCTCCTTGCCCTATATACACGAAATCACAGCTTCCCTCTCTTCATCAACATTTAACAATTCCTCAAAATATTCCCTCCATCTTCCTGATACCTCTAACTCTCCATTTAATAACTCTCCTCTCCTATTTTTAACTGTCAAATCCATTTGTTCCCTAGGCTTCGTCAACTTATTAATCTCACTCCAAAACTTTTTCTTATTTTCAACAAAATTTGTTGATAACATCTGACCCACTCTCTCATTTGCTCTCATTTTACATTGCTTCACCACTCTCTTAACCTCTCTTTTATCTCTCCGTATACTCTTCCCTCCTTGCATCACTTCTACTTTGTAAAAACCTCTCATATGCTAACTTTTTCTCCCTTAATACTCTCTTTACATCATCATTCCACCAATCACTCTTCTTCCCTCCCACACCTACTTTCCTGTAACCACAAACTTCTGCTGAACACTAATACTACATTCCTAAACCTACCCCATACATCTTTAACCCCATTACCCATCTATCCTTCAATAGTTGTTTATATCTTACCCTAACTGCCTCCTCTTTAAGTTTATACTCCTTCACCTCTCTCGTACTTGCTGCTTCTATTTTCCTTGTATCCCACCTACCTTTTACTCTCACTGTAGCTACAACTAGAAAGTGATCTGATATATCTGTGGCCCCTCTATAAACATGTACATCCTGAAGTCGACTCAACAGTCTTTTATCTACCAATACATTGTCCAACAAACTTCTGTCATTACATCCTACTATGTCCCATATGTCCAATATAAGTTAATCAACAGACTAATAATGATTATTCCAAGTCCAACATGGGACTAATCATATAAAAGATGTATAACACAAACAAACAACTATCAAGGAAAGTACCTCAATAGTACACAATCCCAAGTCAATACAGCATATGTATGTACACATGAATGGATACATGTACAGGAGGGACCTGTGTATTCAGCACCCTCTTTTCAGCGTTTCACATTTTTGTTGGCTTGCATCCGAGGCATTTTTATTATGTTCAGTGTTTTTACCACTTTTTCCACTATTTTCACACAACAGCTGCATAATGGAAAGGTGACCGGTGCCATATTTTAAGATAAGTATTGTATGTAGTGTATTTATTTTACTTTTCTGCTTTTTTAATACCTACATGATAGTGTAAACACATTAATTAGACACATTTGATAATGAAAAACACTTTTCCACCCAATGGCAATTTTCATTTATCACATGGGGTTGGGAACCTAACAGCAATACAAACAGGGCCCTTTTGTACATATGTACGTATGTATGTACATACATATGTGCACATGCAAAAAAAAAAAAAGTTAGACTCCCCTACACCTGCTGGTCTGTTTTATGGGTTTTTACTAGTTTGCTTCAAATACTGGAATTCCCTAAACCATGAACATTCATCCCAGAAGTAAGGTAAAGCTTCGATTTTTCTTGTGACTGATGAATTCAAAATGGGGGGCAAGTGTAATATAGGAGAGGCCCAGGGATGTGATTTATGAACAGAGGAAATGTTGCTTTAGTGTCTGGAACATCCTTTTTTTTTTTTCTTCCAACAAAACAGCTGTATCTCACCAAGGCAGGGTGGCCCAAAAAAGAAAAACAAAAGTTTTTCTTTTTAAATTTAGTAATTTGTACAGGAGAAGGAGCTACTAGCCCCTTGCTCCCGGCATTTTAGTCGCCTCTTACAACACGAATGGCTTACGGAGGAAGAATTCTGTTCCACTTCCCCATGGAGATAAGAGGAAATAAACAAGAACTAGAAAGAAAATAGCAGAAAACCCAGAGGAGTGTGTATATATATGCTTGTACATGTATGGGTAGTGTGACCTAAGTGTAAGTAGAAGTAGCAAGACGTACCTGTAATCTTGCATATTTATGCGACAGACAAAAGACACCAGCAATCCTACCATCATGTAAAACAATTACAGGCTTTTGTTTTACACTCACTTGGCAGGACGGTAGTACCTCCCTGGGTGGTTGCTATCTACCAACTTACTACCTACTGGAATGTCCTTGTTAACACTAATATCCAATTACCCTGGCTACTGAAGAATTCAGGTATTTTGCCTAATTACCTCCGACTGACCATCATCAGCAAGCTCTATCTGCTTACGACGTGCTGCCTCTCCTTTAGATTTTGCAAGTCTGTTTACTAGTACCTCTTCTTCATTGTTAAAACCAACAAACCGGACAGTACACATGCCAGTAGCAGCATTCAGACCAACAACTGTTCCTTCATACCAGAGCCCGTCTTCACTGTATTTTGCACGACACGCATCCCCTGTCTTCCACTGAAAAACAAAATGCATACATATTATTACAATCAAGTATAACACACAAGAAATTAGCTTACATAAACTGGTCCTAATGAACCAAACTTTGCTATAACATACTGCATATGCAAATATTCCATACACAAATAGATCAATTAACTAATGAATAAAAAAAAAAACTTTATATTAAGAGAACTATAAACATCAAGTGCTTAACTCATGGCCCTTTTAGGATTTCTCAAAATCATTCTTGATTAACTGGGATTGGGCACCAACAATGAACTAAATTCTTTAAGTGCCAATGCCTGGTTGATAAGGGCATCAAAAGTAAGCCTGGAAAGAGATTAAGCCACTTGAGCAGCATGCCTCAGAACTACCAAATGGTTATAGATAGACATACACAAAGGAAACCACAAAAAACAAATCTAAACACTGTAGTCTGAAAGCAAGGAATCACTGAATCTATCAATAAAAAATTCACTTTGAATATTAAAAGTTTATAATTTTTCTCTGCATGGCAACAGTAAAATAAACAAGTTACTGTACAATGAATGTGTAGACATCTGTACAAGATGAAGACTATCAATCTTCTACCTCTATTACACAACAAGATGCACTTCCCCTGTGTTTACATTGTTCTAAAGTTGTCAGTTCATTCCAAAACTTCTTACAGACTGGCAAGTTATTATACAATTTTTCACAAACATCATCCTTTGAACATACAAAGGAGCAGTGCAGTAGGCATACAGGCCTGTGTTAGGCAGTTCTAACTCACACCAACCCACACCCCTATGTACCTTCAATGACACTACCTGGGAGTTTGTTCCTTTCTAAATTTATCCAACTTGAAGCCACTGCTGAGAGTCCTGCCTTGATTACATATTTTCAGCACTTCATTTTTTTTTTTTTTTAACAAGTCGGCCATCTCCCACCGAGGCAGGGTGATCCAAAAAGAAAGAAAATTCCCAAAAAGAAAATACTTTCATCATCATTCAACACTTTCACCTCACTCACACATAATCACTGTTTTTGCAGAGGTGCTCAAAATACAACAGCTTAGAAGCATATACGTATAAAGATACACAACATATCCCTCTAAACTGCCAATATCCCAAACCCCTCCTTTAAAGTGCAGGCTTTGTACTTCCCATTTCCAGGACTCAAGTCCGGTTATATAAAAATAACCGGTTTACCTGAATCCCTTCATTAAATATTACCCTGCTCACACTCCAACAGCTCATCAGGTCCCAAATACCATTCATCTCCATTCACTCCTATCTAACACGCTCATGCACGCTTGCTGGAAATCCAAGCCCCTTCCCCACAAAACCTCCTTTACCCCCTCCCTCCAACCTTTTCAAGGATGACCCCTACCCCGCCTTCCTTCCCCTACAGATTTAAATGCTCTCCATGTCATTCTACTTTGATCCATTCTCTCTAAATGACCAAACCACCTCAACAACCCCTCTTCAGCCCTCTTACTAATACTTTTATTAACTCCACACCTTCTCCTAATTTCCACACTCTGAATTTTCTGCATAATATTTACACCACACATCTCCACTGCCTCCAACCGCCTCCTCGCTGCTGCATTCACAACCCAAGCATCACACCCATATAAGAGTGTTGGTACTACTATACTTTCATACATTCCCTTCTTTGCCTCCACAGATAACGTTTTTTGTCTCCACATATACCTCAACGCACCACTCACCTTTTTTCCCTCATCAATTCTATGATTAACCTCATCCTTCATAAATCCATCCGTTATTATTATCCGTTATTCTTATCCATTATTATTATCCATCCATTATTATTACAAAAAAAATAATTTGTAATTTTTATTCACACAAAATTGTATAAATAATGTCAACCCATTCATGACTGCATATTGGAATGGACAGTGATGTCATTTGTTTACTCTTTAACATATCCAAAACAACTGAACATTTCTCCTGTGTTGAGCTCATTTTCAAGGTACTTTTCGTCGTGAAAGCAATCAAAATCATATCTATTTCTGTAATATATCTTCCATTCTATCAAATGAGACAAAAAAAACGAGAATACAAGTATAAAAACCATACGAAAATACCGCTAAGGGATGGCTAATTGCTGAGAAGTGAACTCCATTATTTATGCTTAGATTTCTTTCATTTTTGGTGTACGTTTAGAAGCATCTTTCCATCATACATTGCTCAAGTTTAAATAAGATAGTCCAACAAACAAATGAGATACAATTCCCTAGATGAAGAGCAAGAGCCCCTCACCAGCATCAAGGAACCTGCCTTGAGGTCTGCTCGCTTATGGAAATTTTGCTCACGTATGGAAACAAAAAAATCGACCCATCGACTGCTCGCATTTGGAAAAACGAGCACGTGAATGCGCTCGCAAGTAGAGGCTCCACTATATCTCCCTTAATTTTAGACATTTCCAAAACATGAAAGTGCAATCAATGCCTTCAGCCTATTTTTGTAGGAAAGGTTTCTAATATGAGAAAGTAACTTCTTCATCCTTCTCTGCATTTTTTTTTTTTAGTACATTTATGAATGAGGTTTTGTAATAGGTAATACTGTATATATTTTATGAAAAAGAAAAGTAAACAAGATATTATACAAGGCACAATGAAAAGTTTGTTGAACTATGCACTGGTGAATAAAAGGTTGATGGGTAGACTTCTGGATGTGATGTTTATAGAGGGGCAACAGATATATCAGATCATTATTTAGTTGTAGCTACAGTGAGAGTAAGAGGCAGATAGGGTATATGGAGAATGGCAACATGGGGTGAAAGTTTATAAACTAAAGGAGGAGGTAGTTAGGGTAAGATATAAGCAACTATTGGAAGAAAGATGGGCTAGTGAGAGTATAGGTTATGAGACTGAAGAAGTATGGGGTATTTAAGAATGCAGTGTTAGAGTGTACAACAGAAGTTTTTAGAAACAGAAGGGTGGGTGTGGGATGAAAGAGGAGTGATTGGTGGAATGACGAGGTAAAGAGTGGTAAAGGAGAAAAAGTTAGCATACGAGAGGTCTGTACAAAGCAGAAGTGATATAAGGAAGGTGGAGCATACTGAGAGGCTAAGAGGGAGGGAGGGAGGGAGGGAGCATAAAAGGAGGGCAAGTGAGAGTGGGTGGGGTTCTGTCAAAAAATTTTGCTGAGAATAAGATAAAGTTTTGGAGCAAAATTAACAGGCTGAGAAAGCCTAGGAACAAATGGATATGACAGCTAACACTGTGTAAGACATACTAGTACACACCATTTTTTGTACCCACAAATCTGCCACCTGCCAATTTTTTTTTTTTTTTTTTAACCTGAGGGAAACTCTTTGGGTCTTCTTCCATCTATTCATTCATCTGAAAAAATCTAAGGCCAGCAGGGTCTGCACAATGTATTTTATTTATTTATTTTTATTTATTTCCAATTTGTGCACACATACAGAGGTACAAAAAAATACAGATAAGAGCAGTATGCCAAAGCCACTTATACTATGCATAGCATTACGGGCTGGCTTAAAATTAACTTAAGATTAACTAAGCAATGATTATTATTATTATTATAATCAAAAAGAAGCGCTAAGCCACAAGGACTATACAGCGCTGCTACTAAGCAATGATGAAATCAGTGATAAAACATTAATGTAAACAGATAACTATAAAGCACAAGTGAGTATTACAAAGACAGGTCATATGGTTGCATTCAGTTAGGTAGTGATTCTGTTAGGTAGTGTATTTAAAAAATAATAAGTTAGATTGGGTTTTAGGTTTAGGTTTAGTTAGGTTTAGTTAGGTTTAGTTTTAGGTTTTAGGTTTAACATTTATGTGATATAATTGTGAGAAACATTTAAGATATACAATTTATAATGTTCAGTTATTCAGTATTTATTTGGTTTTGGGTGAGTAAGTAATTTTTGAGAAGAGACTTGAATTTATAAACAGGTTGTGTTTCTTTTATATTTACAGGTAATGAATTCCAGATTTTAGGGCCTTTTATGTGCATTGAGTTTTTGCATAGTGTGAGATGGACACGAGGAACATCAAAGAGTGATCTGTGCCTTGTGTTATGGTCATGTGTTCTGTTGAGGTTGGCAAGGAGATGTTTGAGGGGAGGGTTAATATCAGAGTTAAGTGTTCTATGTATGTAATAGGTGCAGTAATAAGTATGGATGTTTTGTATGGTGAGTAGGTTTAGTGTATTGAATATTGGTGGAGTGTGCTGCCTGTAGTGAGAATTTGTTATCATTCTAACTGCAGCCTTTTGTTGGGTAATTAGTGGTCTGAGATGGTTAATTGTTGTTGAGCCCCATGCACAAATTCCATAGGTGAGATAGGGGTAAATAAGAGAGTGATATAGGGCCAGGAGGGCTGACTGTGGAACATAGTACCATATCTTCGATAGTATGCCTACAGTCTTGGAAATTTTCTTAGAAATTTGATGTATATGTGTATGAAATTTGAGTCTATTATCAAGGTGGATTCCTAAGAATTTTCCCTCTGTTAGTTTTGTGATAGGTGATCCATTTATTATGTTAAGAGGGACATCTGTAGCTCTGTTACCAAACTGAATGAAGTAGGTTTTGTCAATGTTTAGTGTAAGTTTGTTAGTCCTCATCCAGGTAGATATTTTCTGTAATTCGGTATTTACAGTATTGGCTAGCGTGACTGGGCTCGGGTGAGAGAAGACGTATGTAGTGTCATCTGCAAATAGTGTGGGTTTGAGTAACTGCGAAGCATTTGGAAGGTCATTTATGTATAGGAGAAAGAGAAGAGGGCCAAGGACACTTCCCTGTGGGACACCAACTGTAATTGGTTGTGCAGAAGAGTTTGCCCCATTTGCGTACACATATTGGCTTCTGTTGCTGAGGTAAGACTTGAGGTAGTTGAGGGAGTGCCCTCTTATACCATAGTGTGAAAATTTTACGTGGAGCAAGTCATGGTCAACTGTATCAAAAGCTTTACGTAAGTCAATGAAGATCCCCAGTGGGACTTCTTTTTCTCTATTGCAGTGTATATATGTTCTAGC